TAATGGGACACACACCTTCCAAAAAGTTCAACTTTTGTCTCGTCAGTCCACAGAGTATTTTCCCAGAAGTCTTGGGGATCATCAAGATGTTTTCTGGTAAAACTGAGACGAGCCTTTATGTTCTTTTTGCTCAGCAGCGGTTTTCGTCTTGGAACTCTGCCATGCAGACCATTTTTGCCCAGTCTCTTTCTTATGGTGGAGTCATGAACTCTGACCTTAACTGAGGCAAGTGAGGCCTGCAGTTCTTTGGATGTTGTTGTGGGGTCTTTTGTGACCTCTTGGATGAGTCGTCGCTGTGCTCTTGGGGTAATTTTGGTCGGCCGGCCACTCCTGGGAAGGTTCTCCACTGTTCCATGTTTTTGCCATTTGTGAATAATGGCTCTCACTGTGGTTCGCTGGAGTCCCAAAGCTTTAGAAATGGCTTTATAACCTTTTCCAGACTGATAGATCTCAATTACTTTCTTTCTCATTTGTTTCTGAATTTCTTTGGATCTCGGCATGATGTCTAGCTTTTGAGGATCTTTTGGTCTACTTCACTTTGTCAGGCAGGTCCTATTTAAGAGATTTCTTGATTGCGAACAGGTGTGGCAGTAATCAGGCCTGGGTGTGGCTAGAGAAATTGAACTCAGGTGTGATAAACCAGTTTTAACAGGGGGGCAAACACTTCTTCACACAGGGCCATGTAGTTTTGGATTTAGTTTTCCCTTAATAATAAAAACCTTCATTTAAAAACTGCATGTTGTGTTTACTTGTGTTATCTTTGACTAATATTTAAATTTGTTTGATGATCTGAAACATTAAAGTGTGACAAACATGCAAAAAAATAAGAAATCAGGAAGGGGGCCAACACTTTTTCACACCACTGTACCTTAGCATATCTGAATAAAGTTAATAAATTATTCATTTTATACATTTATTTGGATTAAATTAATAAATACATTATTCAGATTTATTTATTAGTGATTTTTTTGTTTTAAGTAATTATTTTCATACACACATCTTTAGCACACCTCTATTTTTATGTTCCAAAACTAGCATTTTGCACTTATTAGGAAGAAAAATATACATTTGCTATTTGTAATTATCATTCAGAAACAAGTATATGTGAGTCTTACCTTTGTTGGTGTGCTCAAAAGATGAGAGAAAGAAAAAAAAACTGAACCTTTTAAGATTCGTTTCTGCATTCTATTTTTATAACGTCATATTGAACTTCTGTTCAACAGTTGCGTCTATCGCATGTGCTTGAATTAAGGTGGGAAAACGTGTGCTTAAAAGAGAATTATGCTATAACTGTCGGCTAAAACGTGTTTATATGTTTTAAATATTTAATATATTTTATTTGTTTAAGGAGACATTTTTAGGACCTGGGTCTATATTTTATATACGTTTAAACAAAAACAAAAAATATAGATAGATAGATAGATAGATAGATAGATAGATAGATAGATAGATAGATAGATAGAATATAGTTTATACATCATACATTTAACATTTTTTAGTGATTTTTCTGAATTACATAAATCTCAAGAACTGTATGTTCTTTCATAAAAAGGGGGGGGTTGAGGGGACTTTTTTTTTTTTATATATAAAAAAAAAAAAAGTATAATATTTTTAAGGAACAAAATGTTCCTATGTAGGTGGAACAGAAGAGCCTCACGCTCATTTAAATGAACTGGTAATTTATTCAGGACATTTAACAGGTCAAAGTGTGCCCACTCAAAAACAAACTCTCTATCAGACAAATAAACCAGTGAAAGGTGCTCTGTGAGCACAGGAAAAATCTCTACAACTCAAACTTAAGGCAGAGAGAGGACAAACGTCCACCTCCCACAGCAGAATGTGACTGTGCACACACTCCATTCTAGAGATACCTGGCTGAAGGAAGCAAGAGGAAAACTGGGGCCGTGTTCAATACCACTCAGAAGTAGGAATGCTGTTCCTCCATCAGCACTGCATTTGAGATCTGGATTATCAGCAAAATATCTGAGATCTCCCACATGGATAGTTTGTGAGCATTAGCGCCAGTGTGAATAAACTCCTTTATACACACTGGCGTAATTATTTCTTTAGCTCTAGGCAAGTAAATATAGACCCCAAAAGTCTTAAGACTAGTCTACATCTGGTTAGGTGAAAAAAAGCTGCAGAAAGAATTACAAACTCTCACAGGCAAACAACAGAACAGTCATTCAGTGTGTATTTAACATCTGGAAAAGTGTGTGTGTTTTAAATATACAAGACATTACAACTAGCAAAAGGTGCATTGTTAATCTTCAAGAAAAAAAGAAGATCCTTTTTCCTCTATTCAAAGAGAAAGTCCTCACTTTAGGACAATGATGCAAGCAAGATTTTAAAACAGACACTCTCATTGACAAGCTGGTTTCATGATCATTTTCAGCATGTGAGAGACGGCAACAAAAGATACAAAACATCTCAGCCTGTGATCTGCTTCTTGTAGACAGTGTATAATTCCATTAAGCTATAATTCATAAGCGATAACCATGAAATCACCCTCACATATTCCCATTCAATGATACTTGAATAAATGAAACAAATAAAGCAGCACAACGAAAATCAAAATACAAATTCTCCATCTCATTCAAAGCTCTTTGACTTGTCCAGCACACAAAAACATGCATCAGGCCGACTCTCAGACAGCATGAAAATCTCCAGCCATGACGATTATATATTAAAAAAAGAACAATAATAATACAAATCCAGACCTAAGTCGGTCACATATTGCTCTAAGGATAAAAAATGCACCATTCAATCACGATTTCACAATCTACGTTCCATATCATTTGTAGCATTCTGGGATACAGTAATATGTTATTTGAGATAATATTTCTCTAGCAGTATACTGTGTACAACAGCTGCTCAGCTCGACATCTAACAAGCAATTCCACATACCCTTTGTCATGCTGTGTATCATAAAACCTAGTCGCCAAATCATTCACTCAAGCATCAATCTCAGATCATACCTGGGCAGCCAATCCTATATGAATGCAACTTCTAGAAGCCTCTTTTAATCTTCAAGATACATTCTATTTGGTCACAGAAAGAAGACATATGGGTCCTGATTGTAGAAATATGACTCAGTCATTCAGTCTGGAATCTTTTTTACAAAGTCAGCCATCACAAGCAACATGCTGATAAAAGCAGCTTCCAATAATGCAGACTGATTGGAACCATATTGGAATGAATATTTTGCTACAAGTTTATATATTAACGTCTTAAGACAAAGTAATCTTGCTAATTAATGCTGTATAAAAGCCAAAGCATCCACATCCAAACAACACTGAGAGTCAAAGTGTTGATGAAAGTGAGATGAAAAGTGGCGCCTCTTTGGTAATATAAAACAATTGAACATTTCGTCCCCATATTAAAATGGAAGACTCGATCAAATTCAAATCCCTGAATAGTGTTGTTACTCTCCTAAAGATGCAAAAAAAAAAAAAAAGTGCCTTTGTTCCCCAAACATCAGCAATGAGCCCCTTTATTAAAGAAAAAAAAAAGATTAAAAAAAGAACAGCATTAGCACCAAGCAAATTCTGAATCAGTCGGTGGCTGAAACTACCCATTAAATAATAAACAAACGCTGGTCCGTAGAGTTTGCTTGGTCTTTGACATCAGCTGGTGAAATTTCAATGTTATGTTAATGAACAATTTGATTTGACTGGCAAATGCATTCATGTTTCTGCTGGTATAAGAAGGATCCGAATGTAAGGCAACATCTACAGCTCTGAGGGTTTGTGTGAATCACATTCAGATCAGACTGACTACGAAGCCCCGTGTTTTGCCATTGTCGCTGAGATCTTGGATGGTGAGCGTAACAAAAAAAAACATTTCAAAAACAGAGGAGAAAAGTTAAGTCTTTAGAAGTATGAATTTTCAAAACAACCATCTTATTTAATAAAAGGGAAGGTTTCAGTCTTTAAGATGTGTACAGCAGATGTGGACAAGAAAAAGGCTGAGACAGGGCTTCTACCACAAACGCTAGTTCTTGGAAGCAGTAAATCAATCATCCACCTTTGCTAATGCAATTAAAATCAATTATGGTTGCAGGAGGTCTAACCAGCTTCCGTTCAAGCCCTTTTTGCCAGTGTCAGTGTACTAAAATATCTCAATTCCAAAATGTACAAAATCTGGCAACCTAAAAGATGATTGCCTCAAATCTTATATCCTTAAGAAGGAAAAACGGAAAAGCTCAGGGATAAAACGAGCAGTCAGGGTGTTCGAGCAAAAGAAGCCCTTAGATAAGACTCTGAACGTGTCTTTCTACGGATTGAGTGTGGGTGGAGTCCACATCCATAAATGAATCATGGTTGAGTGAGTCAAAAAAGGAAATGGATGATGCAGGATCCTTCAGATGCTAGGAGGAGCGATGGAGAATGTCTCCTTATGGAAAAACAACCACTGCAAGAGTGCAGCAAGTTATCGAGTCCTATTGAAGCCTATCTCTTCCCAGTTTTCATGTATGATGGGATGCCTCCTCGTGCAGTCAGCCCCTCAAAGCGCTTGTAGGTGTAGTTGATGAACACCCAGTCTTTACTCTTCAGATCAGCTTCAGTGTGGTTGGACACAGGAGGGGCTTTAGAGAGAGAGAGAGAGAGAGAGAGAGAGAGAGAGAGAGAGAGAGATTAAGTAATGTTTTTTGAAATACATTACAACCCCCCCCCCCCAAAAAACACCATGTATTTTA